TGAAATAAAAGTGTAAACAGACATAATTGAAGGACAATAATAAACTAAAAGCGCAAGATGGGGTACAAGTACTTCCCTAATTTATATGGAGGTGGTGAATGAAAACTATGACTCGCAGTGTTTCTCCTTTCCCTGTGACATTCTTTTTAGTGACATCCTATAAAAGTGCAAAGTATGCGTATTAGTTCTTATGGTGTAAACAGATGCAATTGAGGCAAGAAATAACCTACGTAGTGCACAAATCTCCCAAATTTGCTTCAAGGTGCATGTGTACATTGTTGATGTGCAAAATGCATAATTTATGTCTCAACATAAGGTTTACATCACAAAATTGTGCATCACCAAAGAAATTTCATTCAAAACATGCACTTTGTTCAATTTGACACATGATTGACTAAAATAGGATTTCAACCTCATGACTCGTGCTCAGTGCATTGGGACTCGTGTAGACCATGCCTAGACTCCATGTGATAGGGATGTATGATCGATGACCTAAAACTATTGATAATGCTAAAAAAAATGAAAAGTTCCTAAACTATTGCAAAACGAAGTAAATGAAAGGATAGAACGTTGGGTTGCCTCCCAACCAGCGCTATTTTATAGTCGATAGCCCGACTTTTGGCATAGGTGTGTTATGACACTTTAAATATGGCTTGGGAGGTCCTGCATAGTCTGTTCAATATGGTCTTGTTCCGCATAGCAGTTATCTTCCACACTTCAAACCTGTCCTTTTTCACGTGGTGTGACTCTCCCTCATCATCCGTTTGAGACTCCATGGTGTATACCTCGATCTCCTTTGAGTCAGTGAGAATGGATTGAGGGTGCATCATATCAGCCTCCTGTATGTTTGGCGGTTTCTTCAATTCGTAATTGTAGGGGATTCCTATGTCAATCACATCAATCTGGAAATAGTTGTCTGGCTCGGTGAGATATTTCATTACTTTGAAAACATTAAAAGTGGCCTGCTCCTCACCCAGTCTCAGAGTCAATTGTCCTTGTTGCACATCTATGAGAGCTCTTGCAGTTGCCAAAAATGGTCGCCCCAATATGATAGGCACGTCCTTATCTTCTTCCATATCCAGAATTAAGAAGTCCGCTGGGAATATAAGTTTATCCACTTTGACCAATATATCTTCAATAATCCCTCGTGGATGTGTAAGTGATCGATCAGCCAGTTGTAGAGTTACTGTAGTTGCTTTAGGCTCTCCCAATCCTAGTTTCCTGAAAATAGAGAGTGGCATCAAGTTAAAACTCGCACCAAGATCACATAATGCTTTCTTAAAATAAAAATCACCAATTGTGCAAGGAACAGTGAAACTCCCTGGATCTTTCAATTTTGGTGGAAGCTTTTTCTGAATTCTTGCGCTGCACTCTTCGGTTAGCATTACTGTTTCATGATCCTCCAGCTTGCATTTATTTGATAATATGTCCTTCAGAAACTTTGCATAGCTGGGCATCTGGAATAGAGCATCGACCAACGGGATGTTGATGTGGAGCTTTATGAAGACTTCCAAAAATTTCTTGTATTGTTGCTCCATTTTGTGGTTTTTCAACCTCTGTGGAAATGGAATTGGAGGTTCATATGGGTTAACTGTAACTGTTTCTTTATTCCCTGCTTTTTCTGAGCTTTCCTTTACGGTAGATGTGTTTGGTTGTTCATCCTGCTCCACAGTTTCTTCTTCTATAGAAGGTGTATTCTCTTTGTTCTTGACTGGCCTTTTGACATGCATATCAGGTACCTGCACTCCACTTTGAGTTGTGATGACCTTGGCATGCTCTTTTGGGTTGATTTCCGCGTTACTTGGCAAATTTCCCTGTGCTCTTCCAATCAAAGCGATGGCCATCTGTCCCATTTGAGTTTCCAAGTTTTTGATGGCAGCATTCTGGTTTTGCAGAGTGATTTCGGTTTTCTCCATGTACTGATTGGTCCTCTCCATGAATTTCCTGAACATGTCTTCCAATTGAGGATTTTTCTCTTGCTGTTGAAACTGACCCTGCGGCCTATTCTGATTCTGGTTGCTCCAAGAGAAATTGGGATGCTTCTTCCAATTGTTATTGTATGCTTCCCCATATTGATTATTCTGTTGGCGTTGCCCCATTGTGCAAAATCTGTCTGCTCAACTCCTTGCATTAAAATTGGACACTCTGATGTTTTATGCTCAGCTCCACATTCCTCACAGCTAAACTTCTTATTTTGTGTTGTTTGTGATATGCTTTCTACCTTGTGAAACAACGAGTCAATCTTCGCAGATATGGCTAAATAATTATCGACCTCATAAACACCCTGAGGTTTCTTCTGAGTTATCCGCTCAGATGCCCACATCGCTGAAGTAGTTGCCATTCTTTCAAATAATTCTAGTGCTCCATCGATTGTTCGTGTAGAAATTGAGCCATCTGATGATGAGTCCACCATGCTTTTGAAGTACGGGAGTAACCCTATATAAAAAGAATCAGATTTGGTCTTTTTGTCGAACCCATGTTGAGGGCACTTCCGGAGCATATTCTTGAATCTGTTCCAGGCTTCATCAAATGATTCAGATTCTCCCTGGCTGAAAATGGATATTTCATGTCTCATTTTAGCTATCTTGGCTGGTGAGAAGTACTTTGTGCAGAATTTGTGAGCCAGGTCGTTCCAAGTAGTAATGCTTGCAATAGGAAGCGAATCCAACCATTCAAGTGCCTTGTCCCACAAGGTGTGTGGAAAAAGCCTTAACCTAATAGTATCGTCCGAGATTTCTTGATATCTGAAGTGTTGACACATATCCAAGAATCGAGATATGTGTGTATGTGGATTTTCTTTGGCTCTGCCATAAAATTGATGTCCATTTTGGAACAGCTGTATCACATTCGTCTTCAATTGAAAATTAGGTTGCCCAAACGGTGGATACACAATGCTGGACTGGCTTTGAATCACTTGAGAAGTCAAGAAGTCGCCCAAAATCTCATTTCCTTCGTTCACTGCCTCTCTTTCATTGGCTGGGATAATAGGATTGTTTAGTTCGTTAGCCATTTACAATTTTGCTTCTCGATTTTCTTTTGTAGTCGATAAAAAGTGCGTTTAATTTCAGGATCGGCTGGAATCAATTCTCCTCCAGTCGATCTTAGCATGCAAATTTAAGAGAAAAATAAGAGTAGCACTTAGATACTAAAAAGATAGATCGAATAATAAAAACAAAACAAAGACAAAAAAATAAATAAATAAATAAATAAAATAAAAACTAAAAGAGAAACGAAAATTAAATTTCGAATTAGTGCATAGAAAAATAAAATTAAACTGAACTCAATCCCCGGCAACGGCGCCAAAAACTTGTTCGCGAAATTATTCCTTTCAATTTTAAACTACCGCAAGTGTACGGTTCGTTAACAAGTAATAAAGTGGATTAAATGAGTCCGAATATCGTCCCACAGAGATTGATTAGTTCAATTTTACCTATCGTCGCCTTAACCGAAACAATAGAAATTCTTGATATTTTCGCTAACTAAATTATGATTTAATAACCTACTTATAAATATAAAGCCTGAATTAACTAAATTAAATGCGTGATTATAACTAAATGCAAGTTTTATAAAAATATGATAATGAAATGTGTACTAGGATCCCGAATCCCCTTATATCAATCCTCTTTAATCCGAATTTTATAAAATTGATAACACGATTCAATTATGAAGACCAATATTCCTAATTTGTTTAACAATCTCTCTCGAGTAGAATTAAACCTATTTTCACATGCGATCCGACTATATTTCTATGACGGATGCGAACATATAAAAATGCATTAAAGATTTATGAATACTTAAAGATCACATAAAGCATAGCGGTATATTTCTATCCCCCATCGAACTTTACGACAATTAACATAATGTCTAACTCATTTTCCATCTCTCGAGGGTAAAACAAGCCACAAATCTCATACAACTATTGCGCACATAATTGTAGAGAAAATAAAATCCATGCCAATCATTCAATAATTAAAAACACGTTTTAACGTCAAATAAATAAAATTCAAGATTAAGGGTTCATAATGTAAGGTTCATCGCAAATCCTAGCACATGAAAATCTAGCCTAACATAATGGGAAATAAAGAAAAGCAATAATTAAAACCAAGGAAGAATATCACCCAATTGATTCTTGAAGTGAAATCTTGAATCTTGAAGTGGATTGTCTTGTTTTTGCCTTGTTCTTCCTCTCCAAATCCTCCAAAATTGTGTATAATCCCCTCCAATTCTGTAAAAGTGGCGTCCCCTCGTTCTGGTCGAGTTTTAGTTTATATAGAACCCTAAAAATCTCCTTTCCTTAAGAGTTTCGGCGAAATAAGGAAACTGCTGAATCGGCCCTGAATCTTGTTCTATGCGACCGCATAATACATTTCTATGCTATCGCATAGAGTAAAAAAAATTTGAGAAAAAGTTCTCGGGAGGCTTCTATGCGACCGCATAGAATTTATACTATGCGACCGCATAGTTATACCATTCTTTTCGTTGGACAACTTTTAGTATTTTGATCATAACTTTCTCTTCTAATCTCCGATTGAAGTGATTGAAGGTGAATTGTGAAGAAAACTCAAAGATCTACACCTTTTATAGACATAGGCTTCCTCAAATTCTGATGTTTACTATGTCAAAAATGGATCTAAAGTAGAAATTAAAATTCACGAGCATAGCTTTTTCGCCTGAAAGTTGATACTTGATAATACTTCGGTTATATTTCACCTCTTGACTCCTTTCCTCATCCGATTAACCTCTAACACTCTTGAATCTTCATTCCATTTCCCGTCTCATCTATGAATTATTTGCAACTTGGTCCTCGAACTATCACTTTGCTCCATTTTAGTCTTTTTTCGGCTCTTTTCTTCTGAATTTCACCATGTTCATCGGTGTTCCCTACAATTCACAAATATGACGAGATTAAGTCACAATTCAATCATTTTTCTCATTATTAAGTCATGTTTGTGACCTAAATAAGTGTGCAAAAACACACTTATCAGCTATAAGCTCCCCCTCTAAGTTTTCTTATGACCTCGTAGGGTCCTTCCCATGTTGGCCCAAGTCTCCCTGGTTGGTGCCCGACGGCTTCTGCTTTCCTTTGGACAAGATCGCCGGCTCTTCTTATTGAAGTGCTTTGCCGTTCTGTTTTGGTAACTTGCAGTCCTAAGGGAAGCTTGCTCCCTTACCTCCTCAAGTAAGTCGAGATGTTCGGTAGTCTGTGTCTTCTTATTTGTCTCGAGCTTTCTTATTGTGGGGAGGCTAACCTCAATTGGAATGCTAGCCTCAAGTCCAAAAGCTAGCATAAATGGTGTTTCACCAATTGCTGTCTTGTGTGAAGTCCTATATGCCCACAGTATCGAAGGCAGCATGTCAGACCAATCACCTTTGGCGTCCCCTATCCTTCTTCGGAGGTCCTGCAATATGATCCGATTAGTTACTTTGGCTAACCCATTACTTTGTGGGTGTGAGACCGAAGTCAGGCGATGATCAATCCCATTGCTGGCGCAGAAGTTCTTGAACTGGGGATTGTCGAATTGTCTTCCATTATCTGTGATGAGGACTCTTGGTATCCCGAATCTGCATATGATGGACTTCCATATAAATGATCTGAGCTTCGGTTCTGAAATTGTTGCTAGAGGTTCGGCTTCTACCCACTTCGTAAAATACTCCACCGCCACAGCTACAAATTTTAATTGTCTTCGGGCCAAGGGAAAAGGCCCAAGAATATCAACTCCCCATTGCTCGAAGGGAGCTGAGTAGTAAATGGATGTCAGTTCCTCAGCAGGAGTATGTATGATGTTGCCAAACCTTTGGCACTTGTCGCACTTCCGGACGTAATCTGTGGCATCTTTCTTTAGACTTGGCCAGTAGTATTCATACCTTATCAACTTATATGCCAGAGCTCGGGCTCCTTGGTGATTCTCACAAATGCCTTCGTGAATTTCAGTTATTGCTTGATGGGACTCGGAGGGTCTGAGACACCTTAGATAAGGGAGTGTGAGACTTCTGCGAAACAGAACTCCTTCGATTATGCAATATCTAGCAACTCTATACCGAATGCTTCGGGCGAGCCGAGGGTCTACAGGAATGTTGCCATTACTTATGTAATCAACTATTGGATCCATCCAGGAGGGCTCAAGGTCAATGTCCATGATACTTGGTTTCTGGGCTATACTTGGTTCTGCAACCATCTTGATGTGCACGGTTCTATCAAGCCCGTCAACACCTATGAAGACGAGTCTGAATAATGCATCGGCTTTGGCATTTTCGGCTCTGGCTACCTTTCGAATTTCACAACTTATGAACTGCCTCTGGAGGTCATTTACTTTCAAACAATATAAGCTCATTTTTTCATCCTTTCTTTCGAAAGACCCCTCGATTTGCCCGACCACTAGCTGTGAGTCACTGAAAACCTTGACGTGGTCGCACTCAAGATTTTTCGCGAGTTCTAGGGCAATAACAATGGCTTCGTACTCTGCTTTGTTATTGGTAGCCTGGAAATCAAATTTGAGAGCGCATTGTATCTCCGTAATCTTGTCCGGACTTGTAATAATAATGCCGGCCCCCGAGCCCGAGCCCGAGCTATTGGATGCTCCGTCAACAAAAATTTCCCATATTCCTGAGGTCGAGTTCAGGCTCTCTGCTGGTGTTTCTGAGGATCTCAGAGTGAGCTCTGCTATGAAGTCGGCCAAAGCTTGGGCCTTGATTGCAGGCCGTGGCTTGAATTCTATGCCAAATTCGCCGAGTTCAATTGCCCATTTCAGTAGTCTTCCTGAGACGTCCGGCTTCTGAAGTATATGTCTGAGAGGTTGGTTGGTGAGCACAACAATTGGATGTGACTGGAAGTATGGCCGTAGTTTTCTAGCAGCCACTACTAAAGCAAGGGCGAGCTGTTCCGCAAGTATGTATCGTGTTTCTGCATCAAGGAGCACTTTACTAACATAGTAGATAGGTTGCTGAACTCTTCCTTTTTCCTTTACCAAGACACCGCTTACTGCGTTCTGAGAAATTGCCAAGTATAATAGCAGCGTGTCACCGAGTTCAGGTTTAGTAAGGACTGGAGGTGTTGATAATGTCTGTTTAAGCTCCTGAAAGGCTAAGTTGCATTCCTCGTTCCAGTCGAACCCTTTATTTCCCCTAAGTAGTTTGAAAAAGAGGGAGCACCTGTCAGCTGCCCGGGAAACAAACCTGTTTAGTGCTGCTATGCGACCTGTCAACTTCTGAATGTCCCTTTTGCATTTAGGGGCCTCCATACTTATCAGAGCTTGAATTTTATCGGGATTTGCCTCTATTCCTCTGTGCGTGATCATAAAACCCAGGGATTTTCCAGATGCCTCCCCAAATGCATATTTTGCCGGGTTGAGCTTTATGCTGTACCTCCTTAACGTAGCAAACACTTCCTCTAGATTAGAAACATGGCTACTCGACTGTTTGCTCTTGACCACCATATCATCCACATACGCTTCGACTGTTTTCCCAATTAGCTTGGCGAAGATTTTGTTCACTAACCTTTGATATGTTGCTCCAGCATTCTTCAGACCGAAGGGCATGACCCTATAGCAGTAGATGGCTGAATCTGCCATGAACGAGGTCTTCTCTTGATCTTCTTCTGCCATAAGAATTTGGTGATACCCCGAGAAAGCATCCAAGAAGCTGTACAGCATATGACCTGACGTGCTATCTACGAGATTATCAATTCTGGGCAGTGGATAACTGTCTTTGGGGCATGCTTTATTCAAATATGTGAAGTCAATGCAAACTCGCCACTTTCCATTAGCTTTCTTGACAAGAACCACATTGGCAAGCCATTCGGGGTATTGTACCTCTTGAACGAACTGTGCATTAAGGAGTTTGGTAATCTCCTCTTTTATGACTTCTCATCTTTTCGGTGCAAACTGTCTCTTCCTTTGCTTCACAGGTCTTGCTTTTGGGTTCACGTTAAGTCTATGTACTACAACCTCTGGGTCAATTCCAGGCATGTCCTCAACATTCCAAGCGAACACATCAATGTTCCGGGAGAGACAGCTTAAAAGTTCAGCCATGATCTCTGCATCTAACCCTCGACCAACTGTCACTTTTCTTTCGGACTTGATCTCGACCTCCTCCAATCCTTCTACCGGAGCCAGCCTTTCGTAATTTTCATGCTCGAGCTCGAGCTCTGTAACTTGCATGATGTCATTTTTGATTTTTCGAACGCTGGTTACATAACACTGTCGGGCCACCGTTTGGTTGTCTCGGACTACCCCGATGCCATTAGGAGTAGGGAATTTCATAGCCAGGTGAAAAGTTGAGACAATAGCTCGAATTCTGTTGAGCATTGGTCTTCCCAATATGGCGTTGTAAGCCATCGACGTACGAACGACTTCAAAGGTAGTGATCTGTGTTACCTGCTTACCTTCGGTTCCCAATGTTAAGGGTAACCCGACGATACCTTCCGGGGTGATGACCCCACCTCCAAACCCTTGCAGGGGTGTTTTCACTGGCTTTAGTTGTTCTGACGAGATCCCCATTTGAACAAAAGCTTCGTGAGACAATACGTTTGCTGCACTTCCGTTATCTACCAGAATTCTCTTGACTTCAAAGTTGGCGATGATGGCCGATATGACAAGAGCATCATCATGGGGGAATGCTATGCCTTCCAAGTCATCCATCCCAAAACTGATGTCCTCTGTACGACCAAGATCTTGTCTTGAGATGATCGGTGGCTGTCTGGCATACTCTTTTCGCCCACTGCTAGAGTCTCCTCTCGAGGTTGTTCCTCCAACAATGATATTGATAGTGCTTGCAGTTGATTGCTTGTTTCCTCGATCCTCTGGGCCTTTTCCCCCATTCTGGTTATTCCTCGGGCGTTTGTCATTGTTAATGTAAGAGCTCAGAAATCCTCTTCTTATAAGAGCTTCGATTTCCCGCTTTAAGGCCAGACAATCTTCTGTGGTATAGCCGTGATCTCTATGAAAATCACAGTATTTGCTCTTGTCACGAGTATCGGGGGGGGGAGACCGCAATCGGGGAGGCCATTTCAGTTCCCTAGAGTCCTTGATTTCCATCAGGATGTTGGACCTCGAAGTGTTCAGGTGGGTGAAAGCCGTTGAAGGTGGATCCTTTCTTGGTTTGACCCTAGGTATCTCTTGTCTTAAGCTGGACTCATGTGGCCTTTTCTGATCCAACCTCCCTGATGAGGTAACTTCCCTTTTTGGGGCCATGGTTTCTTCCATATTGATGTATTTCTTAGCCCGTGTGAGTAGCTCGGTTACTGACTTCGACGGGGTTTTAGATAAGGACATTTTGAACGCTTCGCACTTAATGGCGTAAGTCAGAGCTGAGACTGCAGCTGTGATATGTAGATCGAGGATCTGAAGCCTTTCTTTGTTGAACCTGGTCATGAAACTGCGCAGTGTTTCGTTGGGTCCTTGATGTATCTGCATGAGCGATACAGCTGTCTTTCTGATTCTTTTGCTGCTCGCAAAGAAAGTGGAGAACTTGTCAGCCAAATCTAAAAAGGAGGTGATGGAGTTCGTTCCAATGTGGAAAACCAATCTCTAGCCGCATTCGTGAGGGTTTGAGGGAATGCCTTGCACATTACCGCATCTGGTGCAACTTGTAAGTTCATGATATCCGTGTATACATTGAGATGGTTGATGGGGTCGGTTGTCCCGTCGTACTCCTTTATCCGAGGATACTTGAACCTATCGGGAAGGAGGTACGAGAGGACTTCTGGAGTGAATGGTGTATTGGGGGTGAACCCTGTTGCTGCCCGAGTATTTTGTTGCATGCCCGCTGCTATCCCTTCTTCAATAATTCTTGCAAGTTCGGCGGAGTCTATTGCAACGGACCTTGAACCTGATGCAACTTGTGGTACCCCTAAGGTTCCAACCCCACTGTCATCATGGGTTGCATGATGAACTCGAGTCCGGACATCTGTCATAAAGCTACCTTCAGGTGTTGGGGTGTGAGATGGATGCGAATTTCTCTGACTTAGCAGTTGGGTCAATGCAACCACCTGCTGGCGAAGTTCCTCAAAAGCTCCGGCGAAAACAATAGCTTGAGGAGGTGCTAGCATCTCCGACGACTCTTCTTGAGGAATATGGTGTTCCACAGGAGGTGGAGGGTTATCCGGGATGGATGAGCTTACTGGAGGAAGACCTGAACGTGTATTGACCATGGCTTTTGGTAGCGAAGTTCTCACAGACGGCGCCAATGATGCTACCAAAAAATATCACCTGAAAATCTCGAGCTTGATGACTGGGATGGAACACGAACTGCGCCTTCCAGTACCTGAAACAAAGGTAACGAGGTGTGTGCTCGTCGCCTCTCCGATGCTTAAGTCAGATAGGAAATTTTATGCGTGAGGCTATAAACTGAGGATAATAATGAAGAACGTACCTTTGGAATGAGCACAGGTTGTGTATTTATAGGTGTTAGTGGTTGAGTCCTAGGATGACTGATTCTGCCACAATCCTTGTCCTCGTAGGAAAAGGAGTTGGTGTTTCACCTCATGTATTCAAATCACTGTTTGAGTCAAAGAAGGAGTCTAAGAAGGTAGGGATTGTGTTCAAGGTAGGATTAGTGCTTCCATAGGTCACATATGGAAGTTGACGAGTCAACACATCTACCCCGACCTAAAATACCCGAGCTGGTTTTGGTGTTTTTAGATGATGATAAGGTCAGGGTTGGAGGATGTGATCGGGGTCAAGTGGTCAGGGTTCAATAATAACGAGATCTGGAATCATCACTTAGTATTCGTCCAAAAATGTTGTTAACATGCTTTAAAATGAGTGTTGAATATATTAATACATATTTTTATTTTTTATTTGTTTGCTTATTTAAAAATATAATGAGCAAATGAGTTTTTTTTACCCTATTTTAATGAAAACTTTGGAGAAAAATCATAATCATGAACAATTTATGTTAATTGGAAAATAAAATAAAAATGAAATAAAAGTTTGAGATAATGTGTAAGGTTATGAACATTTTATCACAATGCTGACGTGGAAGGCCACAGATCTACCTCCAACAATCAATGTTGCCACCATGTTTTCAAAATTGCACAATCTTCCCCACCACACCCCTCCAAACATCATCGTAACTACCAATCTCAGCTTCAAGCATTGTAATGTGCATGTTACACAAACTTGAATCTTTTAAATTATGGATTAGTTTAATAACAAAGCGACAAGGTACAGATGCTATTGAGTTACAGGTGTCGAATAGGCGAGGCTATCCGCCCTGTATTCAGCTTGACCCAGGGCTCACCTAGAGACAATATTTTACTTTTTTATTTATATATTTTGAAGTAGACTTAACAAAAGAAAGACCAAATGGAAATACTATACCAATGACCTAATCGAGCTCCCATTTTCAAGATGGGCCTCCAAGAAATGCACGTCATGCTAAGTTCATAGATAGCCCATATTAGCTCACCACATAGACTACTCAATCCAACACGTTTGACAAAAAAAGTTTGACCGTGTTTAAAAGTAATTTTTAAAAATTTTCCTCGAAAAGTTTTGCTAGTTTTATAGCACGACAATATTCCAAGAAAAATTTAAGTAACATCATATTCCAACTATTCTCATATTATACATATATTCATTGCTATATAATCTTTGATGTTTATTGTATCTACAATATATCTCGTGTAAATATAAATACTATTATTTTTACATTGTAGTTGAAATGTTACTTATCTCCCTTCTTGTCTATCTTAGCATTTACAGCTTCTTTTCTCCACAAACCGTTCACTTGGAATTCGAAAGGATTGTGGATCATCATACTCATCATGTATCGACGTAAATACCATATTAGAGAAATCAATTGCTCCCACAGAATCCTGACATGAAAACCAAAAAGTTTGGTTACAAAAGGAATACTGACAGTGAAGGAAAAATGTACGAAGTTAAATATTACCACCCTACCTAAAAATATTGGAACCATGGTTTCACCTTATCCTTCTCGTATGGTGAGTTATGAATAGTGGCATTGTTCACGATGTCTCTATACAATTCAAGGCAAGCCTGTAAAACTCTATGAAAATACTAACTCACTGTTTGTCTAGACTTGAAGAAAGTAAAACTTCCAATTCAATTATGGTGGTCATGTCCAATGGTGTTGAGAAATATAGCCATTCGTTTCTCTACTTTGACAGATCTACTGTCTACCAAGCCATACGTTCGTAAACGAGCACATAACCTCTGAAACTGAACTATCTTTATCCTCAGTAGATCATGACAAATCCTACCACTCATACCGAACATTCATGTAAGTGTCATTTCTCTTTCAGAATCTCAGTTTCTATGTGGAGCTCTAGGAAGTTGTTGATTACGACGCGTGACGGTATTATATATTACAATTGCTTGCATAACTACCATCCAAAATAGTCCTAATTGTTGTCTTTAGCGACGACGTTGGTTCCTTGTGATAGCCATGGTACTTAGAACAACATCTAAAAGGTGTTAATATAATGTAAATTATTGTTGACAATGAACAAAAAATGAAAACATATATGGTCAACGTGAAAATACAAGTACGAATGAGCTAATACACATATAGTTATCAACTCAAAATGGCTCTTCAAAAGTAATATCAAGGTGTATACATTCAATGCAATTATTGGAAGTATGAATTAATATTGTAGATGTTCCTAAAATGGTAGGTATATTTACATTAATATTTTAGTATAAATTTATAATTGTATATTTTCTTGCAATTATTGGTTGATTTTAATTTTCAATGTATTTCCTAGAAGGATAGCCCACAACTAAATAATAATTTTACGGAACAATTGTAGAAAACAGAGGTAAAATAATTCTTCCAAACGGACCCTCAAATTGTTTTACATGTGATTAGCTCGATTAAATTTTTTTGAGGGAAATAACTTGACTAAGTCTAAGCATAATTACATTTCAAAGACCGTGCACATTATTTTGGACTAAGATACTTGGTTTGAAATGATGCAATTTTGGCCCTAAAAGGCTAAAAAATACAACTGTTGAAACAGACAATGATATTTCAATGCTCAAAATGACATACACAAACATATATGAAAAGTAGGTTAATCAAGAGAATTGATCCAGACATACACAAAATTGTTCCTGATTAAGTCAAAAGGGCAACAATAATTGCTTAATCTATATTTTAATCTAAATCCTAATAATTAATATAGAAGCAAATGATTCAGTTTTTTATTATTTAAAGAAATGAATGTGATAACATTAATTACTCGATTTGCTCTTGACGTATAACCATCTCTTCAACAACGTTTTAGGCCAAAAAAGCGTCAACAGCAAATAGTAGAAATAAAAAATCTTGAAATTCATAACAAAAAAATAACGCATATTCACTCACTTGTGTTTAGCTTTTTGGAAAACCAAAGCAAATTACAAGCATTTACCCAACCCTTCAACTTCCAGGGGCAGGGGGGAGAGGAACGTATACACTTGCAAATATTATGTTTATGCAGTACATACATAATTCGAGATTTCAAAGGGGAAAATAGAGAGAGACGGAGAGATAAGATCAAAATCAAAGAGCGTGTATTGTTGGTATGGATTATGTGGAGATTTTTTAGGTCGACATCGTCGGTATTCCAGAAGTGGGGTGGTTCTGCGTGAGAAATGGGATGGGGGAGTGGTGTGAGAAGAAAGAAAAAGAGAAATAGGGTTTGGCATGTCTATTTGGGTATGTTTCACTTTCAATTGCCAAGAAGATGAAAAATCAGCTCACCCATGGGAATTGAAATTCCTCATTTTCGTGGAATGGAGTGTCACGTGAGTGAACGTGAGAAAAACAATTGCCAGGAAGATATTACCTATCAAACAGGCTAAAACTTGGAAAATGGTGATATAATTTCCATTTTCCATGGAAAATAAGGCCTATCAAACAGGGCCTTATTTCTCTTTCATTTTCCTTCACTACTCGTCTTTGAGACAAACAAAAATGGGACCTTTCCAATTCTCTCTAGTCTCTGTTTGATTGGGATATATTTTCCATACAGAACTTCTGCACATTGTTCAATGCTATATGCTATAACCTTCAAAAAACAAAAAAATAGAAAAAAAGAGAGACAGCTTTACTATGCCAAAACGGTTTCTTGTCATGTCAACGATAGGAAGTTTTTGTCCTGCATTTCATTTCAATTCAACTTACGAAACATTTAGGGTGTGTTTGATTGCACACATTTTCCATGGAAAATGATTTTTTTCCACCTAATTTCCTACTTTTGTCTTATTTGATTGATAATTTATTCCAAGGAAAATATTTTCCTTGTTTTGGTCATGTGACCACATTTTCCTTGAAAACAAGGAAAATATTTTCCTTGGGGGAAGGTGGATTTTATTTTCTATGGAATTTAACCTTTCCAAAAATTCTAGGTAACCAACCACGTGAATATCTCTCTCTCTCTCATATCTATCCACCTACGTACAAATCACTACCGTCTCTCTCATCGATTCAACCAAACAGGAAGGCGTCTCTCTCATCGATTCAACTGAAGCAGGAAGAAGAAATCGACCAACCAAGAAGGCATCTCTCTCATCGATTCAACCGACTAGGAAGAAGAAATCGACGACCCTTCTCTGCTTCCAGATCTACCTCCGGGGAAATCACTGCAAAAGGTTGGCAACGAGACGGTGACTGCATAGATTGAGGTTAGTTTAACAATCAAACCACAATATTTGATTTCTATATGTTTAATTATTAATTAAACTGGGTACAAAGTGAACACGGATTCCAGAATTTGTTTTTGATTTTCTTGATTTTGAGATTCCACATGATTATATGCGAACACGGATTCCATAATTTTTCTCATCTGTAATGACCCCCAATTATGTTTCTGTGATGGGTTCTGCAAGGTGGAGGTGGAGCTGCTAATAGAATCTAGGCAGTGATCTGGTCGAGGGATAGTTGAAGATTTTGAAGTAGGTCAAACATATCAATCTTCAATCTTCAGTGTTAGATGTGGTCCAGTTTAATGCCTAAAAAACAAATGCGGTCCATTTATACAGCTACCCCGTGCTTCTCTGCTTTTTTTGTGTTTGTATTTAATGCCATTTGTAAGGATTGCAAGTCTTCAAATTTTGTAAACTTCTATTAATAACCAACCAGCCTAGATTGAAATCTAACTCTTGCTAATACAATGTGTAAATTACATCATGAAAGTGCCTAAAGCTGTTGGCTCCATTTGAAGTATTGGAATTATGGTGTTTTGATACAAATGCACATTGATTACATGTAGCGGTGCGTCTAGAGTGATGTAGTTTTTAGGAATCTAAGTCTATAGTTTTTTTAGAGAAGATTTGTTAATTGTTATTTCCCATTTTGGAATCTAAGTCTTTAGTTTTTTAATCGGTCAATAAGTAGGATCTTCAACAATAGGTGGGTTTTTTGGACTTATCTTTGGTTTTACAGAATCAGAAATATAAGGTTTCTGCTACATGAAAAGTAGGTTTTCTGAGGGTATTCTAGGAAATTTCTGGCTATAGTGAAGTTTGATTATTGTTGCCTCTCGAATATGGTTATGATTTACAGGTTTTTATATGTTCTTTTCAACCGCTGGTATCTAGTACTTGTTAGTAGAATCTCAGATATTGGTTGAGACAGCCTCAGATGGTATCCAAGTGGTTGGATTTCGAAGCTCAATTTTTGCACATTTGGATACTTGTTTCTTTGTGGCATGCAATAGAGGAATTGTATTTGGAGATCAGAAATTTGAATTTGATGGATATACTGAATTGTAATTTTGCATTTGGATTTCCTATCTTGGCAAGATTTGTCTGAATGGAAGCAAGCGCCTGCTTTGACTAACCCATGATTTGCTGTGTGTATAGTATTATAATGGATGTCAAGGCGGCAAGGAGAGTCACTGTCTTCAATCAACTTGCAATGGAGTTGATTTGCTTTTACACCTCTTTTTTCGTGGAAGGGTGAAATTAAATTGTAACTGAAGTATGAGAAAAACCATATGAAAGACTTACTCTTCTCTCATTAAATGCCCTATTGAAACAATTGTTTAATGCATGTGTTAATACGTCTACATATGTGTGTGTTAACGCTAGTGTTTTGATTGGCTTGGGTGTGTGTATCTATGGATCTATTACCAATATAATGCACAATAATTTAACCGTTGTCCATTGTGCTTATTTCCTTGTAGCTACAGTTAACTTTTTATTCTGTAATACTTTTAAGTTATTCTTTCTAAACCAATTTTTATTGAATTTTTATTTACTGTGGTAGTTTATAACATGGCTACAACAACAAATCAATGTTGATGCCAACGACAACATTTAGGCTTAGTTTGGGCGATGGTCATACAAGCGATTGTGATATATAACGAACTTAGGCATCATGCACAACATCTTCCAAGAGCTCCTCATACAAATTGAAATTCTGAAAGAGAAATAACACTTACACGAATATTTGGCATGAGTGATACAATATGTCGTGATCTCCTTAGGATGAAAATAGGTCCATTTCAAAGATTATGTGCTCGTTTGCGAACTTATGGATTGGTTGACAGTAAATACGTTCGAATTGAGGAACAAGTCACAATTTTTTGGTATACAGTCGGGCATGACCAATGTAATCGCGCTGGACATTTTACTTTCTTTCGCTCTGGTCAAACAGTGAGCTTTTACTTTTACAGAGTCTTACACACTTGTTTTGGAATATATAGAGATGTTGTGATTAATGCCACTCCTCATAACTCACCATACGAAAAAGAAAATGTACAGCCATGATACTCCTTTTTTCAGGTTAGTGGTTTGTAGTTATTTCATCATATTTCTTCAAACTTCAATATTCACATTTATTTTGAAAAGTAATGTTTTTTAAAGGATGCCGTAGGAGCAATCGATGGTACACATATAGCTGCATATGTGCCTTTAGAGGAAATAGGTAAATATCGCAATAGAAAGCAAGTGATTTCCCAAAATGTTTTAGTAGCTTGCACATTTGATATGAAATTTACGTACGTGCTTGCCAGTTGGGAGGGATTCGCACAAGATGGTCGATTGTTACGGAGTGCAATATTATGCCAAGGACATAAGCTAACAATTCCTGTTGGTAAGTTGTGTCACTATTTTGAAAACATTTCTTCCCCATATAAGTTATAATAATTACCTAACTACCATCTTATGAACGACTCTTTTCTAGGTAAATATTACCTTGTTGATGCTGGCTTCCCATCGGTTTCGGGTTTTCTTGCACCATACCGTAGGACTCGTTATCATCATAAAGACATTGAAGGTCAACGTCCTGAAAGGAGTTGTTCAATTTTTGACATTCATCTCTACGTAATGTTATTGAGCATACAATTGGTTTGTTGAAAAAAGATTTGCATATTTAAGACATCAATCATATCATGACATTGACACACAAGCAAAGATAGTCCTTGCCTGTTCTGCCATCCACGGCTTCTTGAGGATTGATGACGTTGAAGATGTTTGTGAGAAGGACGACTTAGATAGTAATGATGATGACGTTAACCCTACGCATGTTGATGTACCTGAAGATGAAACTCTAAATGCTCACATATCTTTCACAAATCAGGAAGTGTGGTCTAATAAGAGGAATGTGATTGCTGATTTAATGTGGGCTGATTATCTTCCCAATCAGAATGCGGGAATTGATTTCGATTGAAATCTGATTTTTTTTCTTTTTCATCTTGTTTTTTATTTTTTATTTGTTTTTCGTTTATGTAATGCATATAAACTTACTAGATTTTCATATGTAGTAATTGCTTGAATTGAAGACGTATTGACATTAAGCAGATTTTTTGTTTTTTTTTTTCCATGTCCTATAATAGTTGACATAAAATTGTTAGAATTTTAAATATTGTAATTGGAATTGCTATTATCGGAGACATTGTTGACATGCAATTTTCTTAAATGTTCTTATTTATTGGTTGACCATAAACAGTTAATCTTGCACTATACAATTCATGGCAAATATTCGACAAAGCTCTGCGGCACCTTTTCGAGTTCCTAGACCAACCCTCCATTCAAATGTGGAGGAAATAAGCTCAACCCAAGTGGATCCTAATTCTAGGAATCGTCAAATACGTTGGAGTGATGCAATGGACGGTTGTATGATAACTGCACTACTGCATGAAGTGTTGTCTAGTCACAAAAGAAGTGACAATGGCTTTTCATCATATCATTTGTCCAAAGCAATCAAGAGCGTGCACAATGGATGCAGAGTCATGGTGTTTGATAAGAATGTGAGGGCGCGATTGAAAACTCTGAAAAAAGAATATGTTGAAGTTCGTCAGTTGTTAAGCATGAGTGGTTTTGGGTTAGATCCTCACACTGGACGTGTCACAACCAATGTACTAGCTTGGGAGGAGTTGTTGAAGGTACAAAATTTCATTGACCAATGAAAGTATTATTCCTTAAATATTACTAATATAATTTATTTTGCCCACTGACTAGCGTAAAACATATTTCACTCTTTTTCTTGTAGAGCAAACCAGAATTTGAAAAGTGGAGGACCAAATTTTGTTCTCGTTATGATGATTTGGAGGCTATCTTTGGAAATGATTATGCTACAGGAGATCGCGCTATAACCGACAATGACATTTTATCCCCCGATCATGGTACGTACTAGATTGTACATAAAAATTTATATAATTCGTATTATATTAGAGATTCTAACAAATTCTTATTTTATTATTTTTTTAGATGAAAATGTGCATGAAGTTGATAGTCAAAATGAGGATACGGATCCAAGCCCCATTCGCGCTCCTAAGCGTAATGCAGAAGGAGGAGCTAACAAAGTTCACCGTCGCCGTACCCAACCTAATGATGAGAGTCTCGTTGCCCTATCAAGCATTGCCTAATCATCTAAAAAAAATTGCTAATGCTATGGAGACTCAAGCAACATTAGATACGCTAAACCACATCAATTGGTAGTTGGTTCTAGAAAAATTACAAGGCATGAGATAGAAAAGCGTGACATAATGCAAGTAATTAAAATATTTCGATCGGATGAGAGTCTGGCTAGAGTATTTATGAGTTTGATTGATGAAGAATTCGTGCGTGATTTAGTATTTGAGAATCTAGGCCGTGATCCGCCTCCACTATTTTAAGATGACTTGCTTGGATAATTTAACAAACATATGTGGAAGTATGACATTTATGTTGATTTTATTTGCTATTTTCTTATGATAGAGATTTTTCGGGTTTTTTCATTTTCGTTTTATGTAATACATTGGACGAAATTTCATCATTATTTATTGAATTGATTATCTTATTATTATTTTTGACTGCAAAGAAGAATATGTAAATGGTAGAAATCTGAATTGTTAGGGATAATTATTTCATCTCAACAGTGTTTATGCATCTTTCGTACCGAATCTTGACATATTTTTATCCACAAATTAACTGCTATATTAATTATGATTGATTAGGATTTGGCTGCATTTATGTCTATAATTTGTTTAAGATTTGAATCATTCATTGACAAATTTTCATGGGAAAAAACTACTATTTTTCATGGAAAAAGTGACAATTTCCATGGAAAATAGTGGTTGTCAAACAGATAAAGTTGGAAAAAATGATTATTTCCATGGAAAATAATGGCTATCAAATATCAAAAGTTGGAAAATTGCAACATTTTCTAGGTTGAAATTTAAGTCAATCACACACATGTAATTAACATTTTCCATATAAATAATTTCCAGGCAATTGAATTACCTGAAAAATATTTTCTTTCCATGCAATTTTCCTACTTGCAATTAAACGCACCCTTATATATTTTCAATTCTCAGCAGTTCATGACTTCAAGGGAACTTGCTAAAAAGCCAAAAATATAAAACAAATGCATGGATTAAATTAAGAAGGCAGTGTCTCTCTCTCTTCCCTTTTTTTTTTTTTTTTTTTTTTTTTTTTTTTTTGGGTTGATAGGAATAAGGTTGAGGCCAGTGGCTTTTAACATCTCTAATTTTGATTAAAAAAAAATGAAGAAAGTAAATTATACACAAATATTTTTATTCCACATTCAATTCCAAATGGAAAAAAAATAAATAAATAAAGGAAAAATCCTTGTAACTGAAAGTACCTTCTCTTCTTTTCACAAACATAACACCTTGATTACAAAAGAAATGGAAGCAATAAATTCTCTCCTTTACTCCATAGTCTGTACTGGCAAGTCTAACCTCTAATTTTTTAAAACTGTTATCTTCATAGTTGAAATAAAATAAAAATTTACTAAAATATTAATCCCGCTTCGAAAATTTCCAGATATAACTACAAGAAAACTAAGTTAAATGAATTCTTTGAAGTAAAAATATGTTTATATTTTCAATATATATAGTCAAGAAAACCATGAACATTAAGAAAAAGAACCTCATTATTTTTTAGAATAAATAATCTTACTGTATAGAGAGAGAGGTGTCGTAAACATTTATTCATCATCATTGCTTCGAGCTTTCTTGATTTTGTGTTCATTATCATCTCGAGGCCTTGGAGGGAACATTGATTCGATCTCGGCCGACACATCAAGCTGGAGGCGCCTACGAATTCTTGATGGCGATAATTTTCTTTTCGTAGATGATCTGGTTTTTCTTGGTGCTGGCGGGCACTGCTTGACCACTGGGATTTTGTGATCCGAAGACGTCGGCGTTTTGAACCCTTTATCATATTCTTCTACCTCGGACTGTGCTAAACATGGCTTTTTAGATTCTCGAGAAGAAAATATTGCCTTAACCTCTTCTTCTTCATCTTCTTCTTCATCTTTGTGATGAGTATCTTGATCATCTTGTTTTGTTACATTAACTTGACCACCATCTGACACAATATCCTGTGAATAATCTGGATCGTCCACCTTAGATTCTGAAATAATGTCGAGTTTAATCTCCTTTGGCTCTTCTTTGACGAGAAAATACTCTGCACTTGACATTCTCACGTATGAAGACTGCTCAACCTCTGAGCACATGAAATGAAAGGACGGTGGGTGGGGTGGGGGTTTGAGGGAGTCAAGAAGAGAAAATGGTGGGTTGTTAGAGAATTCCTACATGAAATATAATCGTCAAGATCACCATCTTTTGTTTTCCTTTAATTGATTATTTTCACTGTGTTTCTTTAGATATTTGGCGTTTTTCTCTATGCTTTTGAAGCAAGAAGTGGAGAGAGAAAGATAGAGAGAGAAAGAGAAATGTTAGTAATGACGGTAGAGGAGGTTTAAAACAGTATCTTTAGAAGGATCCAATGCGCACAAACTCTCGTGGTAGTACTTATATTCTGTTTAATGAAAATAAGCAGCTTTTCCTGTTTTCTGATTAATCTCTACGCACTTTGATGCAACCTATGCACGTGGTTGATAAATGGGGCCCATCGACAAATCTTTAATTTCTCTTCACATCTTTTCAACTATTTTATCACCTGCTTAGTTTATGTTGCAAGCAACTACATTTAGTTCCTCTTTGATCCCATTAATTTCTTGTAACGTAGCCTCTGTTTATTTTTCATTCTTTCCCTATTAAAATGAAAAATATAACTGTTATTCATCACATTAAGCCACAAAATTTGATTATCTATCTCTTGTATGGGGCCCATAACGATTATATTTTTCATTCTCATTCTCACAAAAATGGAAAACAAACGAGGCCGTATTATGGAATAGTAAATTGATGAAAAATGTGTGATTCAAAAAGAACGAATTTTTTTTATTTACATGTAATATTATTTTATGAAGAATGTGTGATTAAAAATGAGTACTGTATAAAAAGTAATGAAAAAAAATGAAAAAAAAGGGCTCAAACAGGGGCTTATTCAAGTGCTAAGAACTAAATTTTAGTGCTTGTTTCATAAAAATCATCTAAGATATACTCCATTCGTCCCATTTATATAAACTGATTTTGTTTATCATTTTTTTGTCAAAAACTTCCTAATCTACCCTTGTTTATATTTATACAATTTCAAGATTAAATAGGAAAAATTGATTATAACTAAACAAATTAAATGATAATATATAAATAAACGAACAAAACAAAAATTATCAATAAATAGACAAAACTATATAATTGGAACAAGCAAATAAGAAAAGACAGCCTCTATATTTGGGACGATGGGAGTATCAATTTGTTAAGCAATAATTTTAACTACATATTTCGGAGGGACCATAATTTTTATTAACTTTCAATCAGAATATTAACACTAACTTTTATCAAAATATTCTAAATCTAAAAATCTTTATCAAGCAATCCCTTATTCTCTGTCATTACATTGAGAGCCGTTTGTCATTAATGACTCAACACGTTACTTCTCATTAATATATCACACTATAAGTTTCTATTTGCTATCAAAATGTGGCCACCAAAATGTATAAAATTAATAGCATGTTTCGGTAGTGTTTATCAAAATGTGATCACCATAATGTATAACACTTTACATCATAATGTATAACACTTTACATATCAATTATTTTATTCTCAAAAAATTCAATTACTATTTAATTTTATCTAAAATTATTGATTTTTCTTCATGTAGATTTTTCACCCAAAATTATACACATTTACTAGCTCTATTTATAGATTCTTCTCTTCTATGAAATTTTTTCACATAAAAGAAAAAATTCATCAGCAATGGATATCAACAAAATTACGTATGCATTTTTAACAATTTTTAAGGTGCAAAATTACCCCAGATTAAATTGAATAAGAAAATAAATTTTAGTTATAAAATAACAAATAATGTAAAAAAAATTTTAAATTGATTGTGTTTAATTATTATTCATCGAACAAATTTCTTTTAATAAGAATATAGCAATTACGAATTTTTGTTTGTTATGGAAATGTAGAAATTAGACTCCAATGAAGTATTTTCTAAAATTATTTTATTAACTTACTAACATTAATTTTTATTGATTTGAAGTTAGTGTTTAGGAAAGAAGATAACAAACCTTATATATTTTATTAAAAAAAATCTTTTAAAGAAAAATATTTAATAAAAAATCAATAATTAATATGCATTATATGGTGTAATTAAGAGTACGTTTAACTATTTTTAACGGCACATTAGTAAATGGTGTTTTTTTTTTTTTTTTTTTTTTTGTAACCATTATGTAAAATGTAAGTTTGTAAAATACGGTATATGAGAGTAATTATATTCTATATACAGGATGTATTTTATAAATTTCCCTTTAAAAATATATGGTACAATTAAGTCAAACAAGTTGTTATAAGGATCTTTTACTTGAAATATTTTTAAAGAACTATATGGTTCAATTAAGTCAAATAATTTGTTTGAAAATGGATATCCAATTGCCTGTGAATACACGTCTTTTGTGAGTGATACAACGTATTATTTATTTTTTATTAGCTACTTCTCAGAGCAACTTTGACCAAAAGATGATGTCTAGGTAAGAATTTGGAGAAGTCGTACATTTGAAAGGAATAGAATTATCAAAAATGCAGTTGGTTAAAATTTCGAGAATCCAAGGGTCGAGGAGATTTAACAAGTCAAATGAAATAGTAAGAGACTTGTCGATTGAATATTCAATTTTCTCTATTTAAATTATCGAGCGAAAAATTGTAATGGTTGGTTCAAACTTCAAATGTCTCAACAAAAAAGAGGCTAGCTAGTGACTGTCACATTAAATGCTAATTTAAATGCAATGAATAAACCATTTAATTAAAAATGGTCCATGCACTATATATTTGGTACATTGTGGCCCTTATCACTTCTTAACGTGCCCTCGCTCAATTTTCCAAATAAATTAACACATATTCATAGTGGAAATATTAGTTGACCTTACTTAGACACCTGGGCATCTTTGTGTACCTAATTGCATATTAATAAGTGGACAACACTTAAATTCAGGGTTAGTGACCAAACTGAAAATGGAAAAGCCTTTTGATTTGCATACTTTCTAAACTTATCTATGAGTTATACAATTATTGTCATCTTCTTAGAATATAACATATTGTTGGAAAGATGAGATTTGTGAATGGTTATCACATTTGTTTGACATATGATTGCATCACTGCATGATTTTTAGAAATCAAAATCAATTTGAGGTATAACTGAAACATTGACCTAATTTGGTCGTCATAATTGAATAGTTGACCTTACTTTTCAAGTGAAAACTAAATCTTGAAAATAGTTTACCTGCAAAACTGTGAGTCATGAGCATGAGCATTCATGATCGAGATAAAATTCCATTGTTCATAGATGTTAAGTGGATCTTTTCTTTAATTTCTCGACGGTAAGAGTAGTTTAGCTTGTTAAGTTTGATATCTTAGAAAGTTAGTTTACATAATTATCTAGTTAGAATTAGTTGTTGAATTGTATATGATTGGTTGAGTTTCAAGGTTGGTCAATCTAAATTCTTGATACTTTGTGCAAGTTAATGAGTTTTTTTGCATAAGTTGATGACATTCTCAAAATAACATAGAGCATCTATTTGTTTTAACAAAAGAATAGTTTTTTAGTAAATTTTGTTACAAGTTGATGAAATGTGAGATCGAAAAGTTGGTAAAAGTTATAGGTTCTATGCAATGTGGGATTAAAATTAAGCCCTCATTTGAACCTCATTTTAGTCAAAAAAGTATTTTTGAACAGTGATATTTTTGGAGAATATGTGATTAAAAAGTAAAATAAAGTTCTCGATTTACGTATAAAATCATTTTATTGGAAAATGTGTTGTTGAAAATGAATTTTGTAAAAATGAGTTTTCCAAATAATGAAGCTCAAATAAGGGCTAATTATTGACTTTAACTTAAAATTTTATCAATTTTTTAGTTAAATCAAATAGGGTAGAATTAAATAGAATAGTGCTATTTATCTTCATTAACCACATTAGAGTCACATAGAATGGGATTATAACCCCAGTAAGAAAAGTTCAAACCTGCCCAAACCCATTTACTGTTGGGGTAATTACACAAATACACTTAAAATCGGTAACTTTTTTGAAAAATCATTGTAAAAGATATTTGGTTTGGATTAAAACCTAATTTTAATCTAAGTCAAAATCAAATAAGCAATATTAACCACATCTTTCATGTGTACTACAACTTTTTAATCACACATTTCAAATTTTTTTATCATAATCTACTAAAAAATTCTAATTTTAATCCCACCAACCACCCTCTTAAATTATTCTTAAATTAGAAATTAAAGATCATATTAATTACTGTCGAAATCCACAATTAAAAGGAGCACATTACAAACTTCAAAAGCTTAATCCTAACTCCTAAAATCGTCCAAAAAAATTAAATAAATACTACATAATTGTTGTCGTTTATGAAATCGTCCAAAAAATTATTCTTCCTTGATGTAATACTTTAATATATTATAGATAAATCCAAATTCATATGTGGACCATTAATGATGTTCCTTTCCAGGTAGTGTCATGTGCGCTTTCAAGATATTTACAAATCAAATCACCAAAATGTAAAGTTAATTGTATCTTTTGGTCACTGAAATTTAAGTTTGGAATATTAATCTGATATGATGAAAAGTCAATGCATTTCCTCTATTTATTTGTTTATTATTTTTTTCCCCCAAGCTTTACGAGAAGGTTTTCGATTCACAAGCATTGCTACGGTCAAATTAAGACGATAACTTGCAGGTTCATTAGTTTTTCAATTTTGGGCAAAATAGAAAATCTTCTTGATAACTGAAGTGCACTTTTCTTGCTTGATGTCAAATGGGTGGTTCATTCATGTCATGATATATCTAAGCTAATGAATACTTGGGAAAAACGGTGGGCTAACAAATTCGGGATGCTTCTCTTTCCGATTCACTGTAATAAATGCGACTCCAATCCACTCGAGTTTGTTAAAAAAGCAAAGCAATGATTGAAAAAAAAAAAAAAAAGAAGAAGAATAAGCCATCACTAGATGCTCCCTGCTCATACAAAATCGGGGACTTTATCATGTCTTATTTTAGTTTATTTTTATTTTTATGTCGAGACAAATTACTTTCTTCGTAGGCCTTTAAGTGGAAATGAATTGAGTTTATATATATGAAAAAAATTTCCCGTTCTTCGTCTTACTTGTGGGTTGCGATGATGACCCGTAAGTGTGAGAAACTATACCATCACAAGCATGGCAATTGAAAACTAGCAATTTGATTGAGGAATTTTTCTGTTACTGGTATGGATATTTCCTTAATTATACACATGATTAAAGAGTGTTTAAGATCGTACTAAATATGGGAAAATGAACGATAAAGGTACACTTCATTTATTCAACCATCACACCAATTGCTTTTCAAATTTACAAGGAAATTGGACTTGATGGTTGGGTAGATAAAGACCATAATTACTTTTCCTTCAAGTAGCTTATAAATACTGTGGGAGTTCATTCTCACTTACAAACAAGCTACTTGAAAAGCATTGTGAGACATTCAACTTCTCACGGACACTTATCGTTCCATCAATACTAAAATACGTTCACGTAATGAGTTCTTCCACAGGAAGCTTCGAACCGTTGAACATCAACGAGCCACTGCCAGTTCTCGGTTCATCTCCGTTATTTTCAATCTACATTTCGTCAGATGATGAGGAAGTTAACCCTCGTATTGGTAGGAGAGCCATTTCTCTTGTTCTTTTTCACAACTTAGAAGATGTTTCCAACGAGAGTGAGCAATCACCGAACGGTGTGCTCGATGAGGTGTTCAAGCGCGACGCAGGATACAAGGGGGATTCCGACGAAGACGACTGGATGGCGTACGAGGCACCAAACGAGGTAATTATCATCTCGTCGGACGAATCAAGTGAGGATAGCGGGGAAGATGGTTCAGTTGTCGACGACGACTGAAGTGACACCCATGGAATGTAATGAATAAGTATTGTATAGTTAGGTATTTTGTAGGGATGACTTTGGTTAAGATAAAACCAAAAAGTTTACGTAAACATGTCCCTAAAATGTAATCCAGGTAGTGTATTTTGTGTGTTCCAATCCAACTGTCGAGAATTACTGAGGCTATCTGTCGGGAACGACATATTAACTGTCGGGCATTAAGGATCATATGTTTGTAAATGGATCTGTATTTTGCAATATGTTGAACGGGTGTTATGAAATGGTGTTTATCATGCACTAACTTTAGTCCACTATTTACGATGATACAAATGATAGTAAATATCTTGGGGATTGAAGATTGTGTTTTTAGATGGAAAACAAAAATACATGTACAGTGTCCAACCGGTTCCGTTATGTTGTTTTATGTTCCCATGTACAGTTTACAAGATCTGTGAAGCAGACTGTGAGTGCAATGCAAGGTTCCGTTAATTGTCGAGAATAAGTAACACATCAGTCGAGATCGACATTTAATTGGGCGGGATGTTCAGTAGGTGCTTAACAGAGTCTAAAATTTATATGTGCACGAAAGGCTGCGCAACATACAAGAACAGTAATTATCACAAACTTTAAAACATAACTTCAAAATGTTTGATGTAGTACGGAATAATGAACATACAACGTCTATTACACCGCAAATCTCTAAGGAATATGTGATGCATGGGGGTTTGAACATGTGGTCCGGTTATGACCAACTCCACCACAGCGAGTACATTTTCTGTTAGACCATGCAGACTTGTACCTAGAACGCTTACATTGGGTTGGTGGTCTACCTGGAAGACGACGTACGAGTAGTGGCAAAGTAGGAGTACATATAATTAAGCTCGGAACAACCCAATCTACTTCCCTCAGAACAGGATATATAGCTTCGTTGTAGGCACCCCTCCAATATTTGGATGTGTAATAAGGGGAGCAAAGCTCGTACATAGACTTCCCTCTAAAGCAAGCGGCACGAATTGCATGAACACATGGCATATGGTTTAGTTGGAACTCACGACATGTGCAGGTATCTTCGGACAAGTGAACTATATCCATGTCGTTGGATATTCCAACCTGCGTTAAGTTGTTTGTCAGGACATGGGCTCGAAGCCTAGTTCCATTTTCGAACGTCGTTCGTAACTCGTTTTCCATCCTCGGCGTCAATAAGGTACTACATTCTTCCGCATTTGTTTGACGTTCGTAAAACCACTTTTGCATAGTACTCTAAATGTGTTCAACCAAGCAGGTTATAGGTAACGATCGAGCTTCTCTCAACATCGAATTCAAGGACTCTGCGTTGTTGTTTGTCATAAAGTTGTAACGGTGTCCAATAGATAGTGCTCTGGACCAAAATGAATAACCCGCTCGCTCTAAGTACCCGTGTGTTCTTTCGCTCACTCTACGAATCTGTCCCATGAGTCGTTCGAAGTTCTCGACCCGAAAAGTTGTAGTAGCTCGTTTGAATAGAAATATTAGGCTTGCGTTGTTGTACCACTGTATTAAATTCTTTTCCATATGCCATATACAACAACCATAGTGAGACAACGGAAACAACTGAGTAATAGCTTTCTTAATACTCTTTTTTCCTATCCGAAACAAACACGAGTTCTTCGGAGTCTCCTATAAGGTCTTTCATGTTTGACATAAACCACTTCCAGGATTTATTGGTTTTAGCATCCACGATCCCCCATGCCAACAGATAAATCTGTTTGTTACCATCTTGGACAGTTGTCACTAGGAGTGTACCTTTGTATGGATCATTCAATGACTGCCATCAACACAAATAACGGGTCTCAAGTACTGTATGTAACTACGAATGCTTGCACCAAAATCTACGAAAAAGTAATGAAACCTATGAAGAGAATCAACTTTGATGTGAGTTACGGTCTCCGGGTTACTCTCTCCTACGACGTGACAGTACGAAGATAATTTCTGAAAACTGTCCCCCGGTGTACCATGTAGCATATTTAAGGCATGGAGTTTCCCCTACGTGCTTTGCTATAACTGATTTACACACCAAACTCACGTTCCATATCACGTGCAATATCAGTAGGATGATACGATCGGTATGGAGTATCCAATTTTCCCAAAATGTGCTCCGCAATTACAGAACTATTGGCATGCCGATGTGCATTACGACGAAAATCAAGGGAACATGTGTGAACTGTAATGAATTTATGGATCATGAAGATTGCAGATTGCTTGACAGTAGAAGCACGTAGCATCCACTTGCAATTATCGTCCACACAGACAACTGTTAACATTTTCAAACTTGACCTACTTACCCGAAATTGGAACTTCTCTTGCAAAGCAAGTACACGAAACTTCGAGTACAACTGTTTCTTGCTAAATAATATTTGCTTCTCGACGAGAACGGATGTATTTGCAGCTGTAATCCACTCATCCTTGCACGAAGTTCCAGAATTTGATGACATTGTCTCGTCAATTTTAGCAATAATAGCACCATCTGTACCATGTAATAGGTTGTCTGAGTGTTCATCGGATGTTGCAGCCTCTATACGGTCAATTGGAGGTGCGAGTGCTTGGGTGTGTGACACACTGTGTTGATGATTGATCTCGTCATGTTGTACGTTCTGCAGACATTCCGTTGGGCTGAACAAGTTCCTTGTACAGTTTGCATCCATTGCCATATCAACACTCGAGAGCTTAGTTTCCAAAATAGTGACGAGAGTGCAGTTTCCTTATGAACAGATATGTACCACTGTAGGTCCTCATCGTCGCATATCTTTGCCAGAGGTATATTCAAGTTCGGGACTTTGAACTTCAATTTGATTTCATTGCGGGATTCAACGATACCAAGTTTGTCCTTCAACCGTAACACAAGTTCTGCTACGGTAATACTTCTCGACGCTAAAATGGAAGTGGTTTTATCCCCTCTTCACTTCCATTCATCATCCAAATGAACGAAGCTTCCTCCATACGACACGATGAATCTCAAATCATGAGTCATACCTGAAATGTTGGTACTGCAAAAGTAAGAATTCTGCACATTCATATGTCGACATTTCATAACATCAAATTAGCGCATGAGAATACTTACATCCATTTACTACCAAAGATATAAAAGGTTAACAGTTTTCAGGTGTCGAAATTGACAATCAAATTTTCTATCTCGACGGTCACTAAAAGTCGAGTTCGACAGTTAAAATGTCTAACCCGACAGTTTCGAAAATACTGCTCGACAGTTCAACTGACATAAATTTCGGGGAAGATAAATATCATGTGTTTCACTGTTTGAAGATTTTATTGAAAACATTAAAGGCCATAATCAATTCTCAACTACAACATCACTGTATCTTTCTACGAATGAAGAAGGTATCACTCGATGCTTCATTAAATGTGGAATTAAATATGGAATCCTTCACATTTTCTAAAGAATATTGGTATTATTTTTCTTTCTAAAATATACCAAAAATAAAACACATCAATGAATAAAAGATTGAAAATGGTCATTTAAATATGATCATGTTGTATTGAACATTTAAAGTAGTCAAGTATGACATGAGAAGAATTTTTTTCTACTAGCTCACCTTTGAAATTGATCAATGACTTTCCTTGTTTCTTTGTTGATGATGAAGTGGAGATGATGAAAAAGAAGAAGCTCTTTCAATTCGTATGTTTGTGTGTATTAGGGATGGCAACGGTTCGGTTCGGGGTCGGTTCGTCCAAAACCATCACCGAACCATCAATTTTTTGGTCATACCATAACCGCACCATAACCACGAAAGTCGGTTCGGTTCGGTTTCGGTTCGTATCTCGGTTCGGCTCGGTTCGGGTCGTTAATAACCACGAAAATAAATTATTTTTAATTGGTCCATCCGTCGAATTAAAATAAAAACAAAAATATGATACTAAGTTAATGTAACGAACAACAATACATCCCAAATGAAAATGCAAAAAAATCCCAATTCTCAAACGCAAAATCCAAATTTAACAAACAATATTCAATAACTCAAAAAGCTTCAACTTCAATTCATATTCAATCTTCATTCTTCTCCACAACTCTTACTGGCATCCGTCAAAACTCAAAGTCGATTCCTATATAGTATATAAGAAATGTAAGTAGAGTAATAAATCAATAATCCATAATGTTTTTAACTAAATATTTAAACAAAAAAAATGTACCTCTTCGTCAACATCCTCGTCATCAAACTTTGCACAAGCTCCGGAATATGATGAAGGACCAGAATTTTCTACACACAAAAGAGGAAAAAATTAGCAATAAAAGAAAGTGCATAAATAACAAACATAAAACAATACATCCTACCATGAATATCAGACCAAAGCCAATCTCGAGCACACATTAAAGCTTCTAAAGTCTTCGGGTGAAGCCTATTTCTATGTGGGCTCACAAATCTACCACTTGTACTAAATGCTGACTCGGATGCAACAGTAGATACTGGAATGGCTAATAAATCTCTTGCAACCTTCTGTAAAGTCTGATATTTTATTGAATTTGCTTTCCACCATGTCAATAGATCAAAACTGTCCACCCTAGGCAATACTGGCTCATCTAGAAAAACATCGAACTCTGTTTTTACATGATCAGCAGTAACAGAAAGGCTAACAAATGTGTCAAAACCAGCCATGCGAGAATGTTCACTAGTAGTAGACGACTCTGATTGTGAAGATGATGGAAACAAATATGTATTTTCTGTCGAACGATGTGGTCTCTTGTACTCTTTGAGCAACTTATGACAAAATGTTCTAATCTTTTCAGCCTCTTCCTGAGCTTCATCTCCAAAAATCAAAGGAAAATAGTATTCAACTAGTTTCATCTTGTATCTAGGATCCAATATAGTTGCAACAGCTAGAATTTCATGCATGCCACTCCAATATTTATCAAACTTTTCCTTCATGCTTGACGCCATCCATTTGACTTCATCGCAAGATGATGTGCTCCAATCACGGATTGCCAACTTTATGTCACAAATATTGGGAAAGTACAAATTGGCAGTAGGATATTTTGTTCCTGAAAATAATTCGGTCGCTTCATAAAATATCTCCAACTTATCACAAATCTCTGTAGCCAATTCCCAATCGCTCTCACTCGGTACACTTCTGTAATGAGGCTCTCTTTGCCTTAGTCGAGGAAAAAGTTCTTTGTAAAGCAAAGCAGTATGAATCATTAGATACGTAGAGTTCCATCGAGTCTTGCAATCTAATAATAACTTTTTTCCACAAGGGATTTTCATTTGTCGTGCAACTGCCTCAAAAGTTTCAACTCTTTTTGGTGTTGCTGACCAATATGAAACACTATCGCGAATTCTCTCAACACTCGGGCTAATGACATCCAAACCATCCTTTACTATCAGGTTCAATATGTGTGCACAACACCGCAAGTGGAAAAATTCACCATTCAACAATAAAGAACCAAGAGAAAGCTTATCTAACATAATGTTAATCATAGCGTCATTCGTGGTGCAATTATCAACAGTCAATGTAGACAATTTCTGATCAATATTCCAATCAAATAGACAATCCATTAACACAGTAGACAGTGACTCAGCAGTGTGGGGACAAGGGACATATATAAATCTGTATGGATATGAAAAAAAGTTTGTAAGATAACTTAAAATTTCAGAAAATACGATAGTAGCTTAAAGTCTATTTTATAAAACTATTGTACCTCAAAATTCGGCTCTGAAGCCTCCAAGAATCATCTATGTAATGTGCAGTGATAGCCATAAATCCCTTCTTTTGATTGGATGTCCACATATCAGTGGTGACTGCTATTCTACTATTGGTCCTCTCTAACAAGCCCATTACTTTTGTTCTCTCATAATCATAAATTTTCAAGATATCAGCCTTGATGGTATTACGAGAAACAACTTTAAATAATGGTTGAATTGTATTACAAAACTTTCTAAACCCAGTATGCTCAACCATTGACAGAGGATATTCGTGTAGGATGATCATATTTGCAAGTTCTGTCCTACCTTTCTCTTGATCAAAATCAAATGCTCCCATTGCAATCCTACCACTAGGTTCTTTAAATTGATTCAAAAACATCTGTTTGACATCCTTCTGACCTCGAAAAGGACATCTATTTAAATGAGCATGTAAATGACTTGTCCCATTTTTCGACTCACCCCCTAACTGTTTGTTGCATTGTCTGCAAATTGCTTTGGACACATTATTAATTCTCTGTAGCTTAAAATGCTGCCACACTGAAGAGGTTAATTTTCTTTTTCTATTTTCCACAGTCATCTCCTCATCATCACCTAAATCTATATGAATAGGATTTGCATTTACCTCACTTGGACTTTGTGAAGTAACTGGTGTACTTGTTGATGTATCTCCAACTTGAATTGAAGCAGAAGCACTTCCAATTGAAGCGGGGGGAGTAGGAACGGAAGATTCTGACCCCTGGCAAGACATCTAATTTCAAAAAAAAAAAAAAATCAACAAACTCAAAAACTTAGGCATTCATCAATTTCATTAGGTGAAAAATTTACAAAAGTGGAATGCTAAACGATAGAGAAATAACTTATATATCAATATAAATTAGAAGGCTCAATAATTATATTAAAACTATATGTGAGGAGGCTATTTTATTTTAGTTCAAAAACAACTTTTTGTCCTCTAGACTTTCAACTTATATTTAAAGCAGTAAATAGAATTCGGATAAAAAAAATAAACAATAGATAATGACTAACACAAGATAATGACAAAAACATAATAATAAATTGAAGACCACGAGAATTTTGAAATATGCTTGTACATTTCTGGACAAGAAATTCACTAGATTTTTTAAATCAAGCAAGTGAAATTGAAACAAAGTCATAAATTTCATAAAGATCATAAGAAAGCTCCTCCTTTGTTACTAAGAAAACATCAAAAGACAAATCCTCAAATGACTAGCCACTGAAAGTACTTAAATTAAAAAATATGAATTGATTCTATTCACTACCCATAATGAAATTAATTACCTTTAAAATACATACGAGCATCCACTAGCGTATCCAAAACCATCAAATCCAAAACACAAAAATTCGAATCGAGCATAGGAATATAAGGTTATAAAGGTTGAGATGATATGACAGGCATATACAAAACATAATAATAAATTGCATAGCACAGCAAAGTCATTTGGATAATATGTTAAAAAGGACAATATGCACCAGAAATTCTACCTATCTATAAGCCAACTTAAAGAGAGCTAACACAACACCCCCGCACGTAATGAATACATATTTATAGACTAACATAATTGAAATACAACAAAATCCCAAAAGTGAATAAGCCACACCCAAACGTGACTTTCCAAAATCCTCCAAAATGAAGATGCCACGGTTGCCACCTCTTGAACCCAATTCCAGTATTCCACTACCACCTTCCCAGCCATTCCAAACCCAGCAACTTAATACAGTCCCACGCTGACCAAGTCACTCCAAACCAATTCAAAATTATATGGCCATTCAAACCAATTAAAGAAGCAACTAATGGACTTGGTTCCATAAAGAAAGTCTTAACCATATCAATTATTAAGAAAGTCTTAACTAATGGACGTGTGTGTGTTTATATCCAATATTATTAAGAATTCAATTGCATTACAAGGCAAAAATACATGCAGAATCAGGGGAATAAGGATTGAATTCGTGACATATCAATTAAATCTTGAATGTCAGGAACATATAGTTGCCTTAATGCTTTAATCAGTCCAAAGTTGCAATGCCTTTGTCTACATTAACAAAAGCATTTCTGACTTTTCAGCCAAATGATATAATGGCTAAAATTACATAGATAAAATGCAACAGAAACTAGTTAACTACTTAGAAAACAAAGCCTAACTTCTTTCAATCCTTTCATCAAACACTTTCTTTGCAAAACCCATTTTCCCTAATGTCCCATAATACTAATGCAATGAATTAAATCCATACTTCAACATGGGCGTGCACTTTAGTTCCTTCAAATATAGAAAAACTCAAATACAGCGAAAGCAGAAGAAGATGATTCGGTATTTCATTTACCTCAAATAGTGGTCGGACTGTCGGACTGTCGGAGGCAGGAGCAATGAAGCCGTGGCTGTGTGCGTTGAACCGGTGATGTCGTGAAGTTAAGTAGTTAACTGTCTGGACTCTGGAGGCAGTGAGGCGTCAGGTGTGGAGGCTGGAGCTGTGGTTGCCGGCTGCGTGAGTGTGGTCTGTGTTTGTCTGTTTGATTTCACTGATTTGTGAAGTAAGGGTTAAGGGTAAGGAGTAGGGTTACAATTACACTCTCATAAGTCATATAGGCCGAACCCGATTCTATAATTTCTTTTGGGTTATGGTAACTGGGCTGTGGGGAGTTGGGCTGGACGACTGGTATAGTGAATGTATTGGGCTGGGCAGAATTTTATTTTGGGCTGGATAAAAATAGTGGAAATCCAATAATTATTATTAATTTTTTTTTTTTTTACGGGAAATCGGTTCGGTTTCGGGGCAAGGGTGTAAATACCATACCCGCCCCGCCCCATAGCGGTTCAGCAATATCAAATACCATACCCGCCCCATTGCACCATCGGTTCGATTTTTTTCGCCCCATTCGGTTCGGTTAACCACGGTTTTCGGTTTTGACAGTTCGAATTGCCATCCCTAGTGTGTATTTTGTAAAGATTTCCCCCTTTTTTAATCAAAAAAATCATATTATACAATATAATATTGATATCTTCAATGTTAAAATTAAAGAAAAAAATTAATCACATCATACCATTAATTGCATTCAAATCAAGCATTTATTGCTCTAAAAAAGGTGTTCAAGGGTAAAGTGGACATTTTGTTGGGAAAAATTGACATTTTTGGAAGAAATTGGTGAAAGTCATTTTTTTTTTTTTTTTTGCATTTTCAATTTTAGTGACATTTGTGTAAATTCCCCTAAAAATTTAAGTAACATCATATTCCAACTATTCTCATATTATACATATATTCATTGATATATAATCTTTCATGTTTATTGTATCAACAATATATCTCGTGTAAATATAATTACTAGTATTTTTATATTGTAGTTGAAATGTTACTTATCTCCCTCCTTGTCTATCTTAGCATTTACAACTTGTTTTCTCCGCAAATCGTTCACTTGGAATTCAAAAGGATTGTCGATCATCATAGGCATCATAAATACCATATTAGGAAATCAATTGCTTCCACAGAATCCTGACATGAAAACCAAAAATTTTGGTTACAAAAGGAATACTGATAGTGAAGGAAAAATATACGAAGTTAAATATTATCACCCTACCTAAAAATATTGGAACTATGGTTTCCCCTTGTCCTTCTTATATGGTGAGTTATGAATAGTGGCATTGTTCACAACGTCTCTGTACAATCTAAGGCAAGCCTGTAAAACTCTATGAAAATAGTAACTCACTGTTTGACCAGGTCTGAAGAACGTAAAACTTTCGGTTCTATTATGGTGGTCATGTCCAATGGTGTTGAGAAATATAGTCATTCGTTCCTCTACTCTGACAGATCTACTGTCGACCAAGCCATACGTTCGTAAACGATCTGAATCAGAGCTATCTTCATCCTCAGTAGATCATGATAAATTCTACCACTCATACCGAACATTCATGTAAGTGTGATTACACCCAAAGTATAACGCGGTGATTGTAGTACAGCTTTGGGGTGTCGTATCCACAGGGAGATGGAAATTTTCTCAAAAAATCAAACAAACTAGGGTTTTCGTAATTTTATGTGAGAATAATTTATCACTTGAAATAAAAATTAATTATCAATATGCGACATAAGTGAAGCGTTGGAATTCCCCCAATGGATTGGATCAATCGACATCAATAATTCATGTATTTTTCCTCAATTAGAGATTTTCTTCCCAACTCTCTAATCAAAAGATTTAACAATAAAGTCCAATTATATTGCTAGAATCTAGATTTTCTATAACACATTCACACATTTTTTTTATTGGAACAAGATCAAAGATCGACCATATACATCAAGCATAAGGCAGTAATCAATTCGCCAATAAAGTAATATTAAGATTAAAATTCAACAATTGTTTCAACCATTCGATAGAAGGAACATGGCTAGATCTATGAATGATTTGATAAAAGTTAAAATAATCTCAACAATAAATAATTCAAATTGTAATTCAACAAGTATTTCGAATATTCGATAGAGAAAGCATGACTGAATCTATGAAAATTCTAATAATTGTTAAACTAATGTCAAAAACATATTCAAGATATGGAAATCCGATTCTAAAATTGTTTAATAATGAAAAACTCAATTACATGAATTAAAGATGTCGAAATCACCAAAACCGATTGAGATCCTTCGTTGCTTCACCAAGTTCCTTAGTTTTCCATGGAGTTTCTTGAGCACCAAGATGAAAGAAATAGGTCTGGGGGCGTCTCCCTTCGTTCTGGATGGTTTTGGGCATTTATATCCCGTGAAAATTAGGTTACCATAAGAGATTCAATCGTATAAGAAAATTGAGATTCGGTCGCCCAAAAAACACTATGCGACCGCATGGTTACTGTCATTGCGGTCGTATGGTTATGCACTTTCAGCCTCTTCAATTCTCGGTAT